GCGTACCAGATACCAGTCCACATTGTCGTGCGGGATGCCAGGCTTCGCCGCCGAGCCTCCCTGTTGAAACAGGCTGACTTGGAGTCCTGCCATACAGCAGACTAACCCATGGCTGAAGTGACTATCGAAACAGCAAAAGGGAGAGGGGCCGCGACAGTAAAGGGTTAGCGCGGGCTTCTCAGCCACACGCCGGTTGACCTGATAAAGAAAACGACCTCTCCGATGGCCGTGTTCTGGATTCAATGCAGAAGGAAAGAGGAATGAATGTAAAAAGAAAAAGGGAAAAAGGGAAAAAGTTTACCTTTCACACTTGTGTCACAACTTGGATCGCTACCCCAAGACTCGAGTCGGGCGATTCCGTAGTTGAGGGGGCGCTAAGGTTTCCTCTTTTTTTTTTTTTTTTCTTTCCTTTTCCTTTTATCAGTTTTGAGTTCTTGTTTCCCACCTAATCATGCCAGGAAGGAATGAATCGGTTCATGTTTGAAATTGTAAGCTGAAAATGGGTGGTGTGGGCTGCCCAACTTTTTGTTTTAGTATTCCGTGAGCATGACCGACAAGGTACTGCTGATGTGAGGGTCTCAAAATAGGAGCACCCGCGGCCGCATCGGTAGGAGACGGTCACCTCCCGTGAGAGGTCATGGGCCCCCTCCTTGCCATCGGACATGGGTACTCATTAGAGACAATCCGGTGGCTCGTTTCGAAGGGAGGAGGTGCGACCGCCAGTATCCCGTTATGGGACCACTACTACGAGCCTACGGTCGTCTTATGCCGAAAGTGAAAGGACTAGTGGATAGCAGCAAAGTGCGTTGCTTGTGTAATGACCGCTGAGGTTCAGCCTCCTGTTTTAATTTTATTTCATTTTAATCTTATTTTATTTTATTTTCTATTTCCATTGATCTAAAAATGTTTTGAGCGTTTAGTTTAGAACGCGGATAGTCCTACGCATGGCAACCCTATAAGAGGAGGGGTTGTTGTGCTACACAGGGCAGGCCAACCCAGTATGATCTGAGGACGGGGTAGTTACGCTGGAAAGCGCCGCGATCGTCTTGGGGTCTCTGTGTCTAGTGCCCCGAGCGTGTTGCTGAAGTGTGGGTAGGCAGCGGTCTTGCGCGTTGGCTATTGTAGAAAAGGTGGCTATGGCGGACCGAAATGGCCTGCGTGGATGTGGGAACGCGACGATGAGAAGGGTACCTTGGTTGAAACCATTTTGTCCTACGGAAAGCCTACAGAGGAAGTGAGGTTAAAAATTAACGTGCGTGGCCACAGGGAGCAGGAGATGATGAGAGACAAAGGACTACGGGCAGCTATTACCGAGGCACAAAATAGAGTTGAGCGAAGATGCAGGCGAGACGCTTCGTGCATGAGAGTAACGGTCGCTTACCATGAGGATGACTCGTCAACAGGGACCACGACCAGGGAGGTGCAGCGGGTCGACGGAGACTCCGAAGGGGAGTCTGAAATAAGTGACGCGGAGGCGACTCAGTCCTGGCACCGTGGGGATCAGTGGCGACACGACCACCGACCGAGGGAACCAGTAGAAGCAGCCCAAAGGCCAGTTCGCAAGAACAAAGGGACCGAGGCCACTAGGCTGCGAGACACGGGGATCAACGCGTAGGGACAAAAGAATGTAAGAGCGAACGGTTACCAGAGAGAGAGAGAGGAAGACGTGGGCAGTCATGAGAGAGAGAGAGAGAAAGGTGAAAAGAGAGAGACACGAAAGTCAGACGTGAGAAAGAAGTGTGTTTTGCCCCTTAATGGTTGATGTCACTAACTTTGCGGTGCGCGTGGCGCCAAGAAGAGAACTCGGATGTTGTTTGTCATCGTGCACCATAGCCACAAACATGATCAGTCGTGGCGAAGAGCCAGTAGGAGATCTGCGGGCAAAGGAGTGGTGTCAGTGCGAATACCCTTACAAGGATATCCGCCCTGGTTTTTGCAAGCGACAGAAAATATGTTTGATTTGAAAGTTTAGGTATATCGCACGAGGCGCAGCAGCGTCTGTGGTCTACGTTGACTGAATGGTTGACAAGAGCAGAGAGTGTGTGGGAGTGCAGGTTTGAGGCGCGCATGATTTTTATTTTGTTGATGATTGAAAGACCGGCGTGATCGCTGACCGGATTTTTATTTTTCTGATTAAACTAGCATTAAAAATATCATCTCTTGGTTGGTGCGCTTGCCTGTGACTTGTGCGCACGTGCGGAGGACAACGTCAACAACAACGTGATTTTGAAAGCGTCTCGGTCGATCTGCGCGTCGCGGAGTATCGTTTTATTTGGGTGTCCATCAAAGCGAGACTCAGCCGTGGGCCTGATATTATTGGTTACAGCGACGGACTTTCATCAAAGAAATTCAGGGATCGGGACCGAGCGGTGACGATGCGGGGATATCAGAGTACCTCGAAGGGACCGAGGGGTTGAGGGCCCTGCGGGGCTATCCCCCTTGGTTTTGTCGTCGGCAAGGTCGAAACGGTATTGGCAGTTCCTTTTCCTCGGCCATTGTCTTCTGACGGCAAAAAAAATTCCTAAATATTTTCTCATTTTAGCATTATTTTTATGATCCGGCGTCCGCCACGAGGGTCGAGGACCTTGACCAAGCGCCTCTTTTTGGAGGGCCCGTCTAGGTCCTTGCATGTTCAAGGTGTTGACGAGGTTCCGTCCTCCTGTCCGTCTAGAGGATACGGGCCGAGGGAGTCAACGTGCATGTCGGCCAATGGATGAATAGCCCGATGAGCCAAAAAGAAAGGCTGGGTGGCAGGGGTACTGCGGCCACCGACGAATCTGCTATGAGGGGTTTGGGTGCAGGCATGCCCGTTGCGGCCCGAAGGTTAGTGGACAGATGCCTGAGCAAGCGAAGGCCGCGACGATATTGGCCAGTGCAAATCGGTTGACGGGTTTGGGCATAAGAGCAGGAGACCGTAGGGGGGGGGGGGTGTCGTCGCGGCGCATATCTCCATGGGACCTCTCTTTATCACCGGCTTCCGAGTTTCGAGGGGGTGCACCCTGATACCACGAAGATCGATGTCGGGGCCCGTCACGTGGGCCTGCGCTATGGACCTGAGCGTGGGGGCTCAGCCCTCCTGGTGCCAAGTATTGGGAATCGCCTGACTGTCGAGTGTAGGCCGTGCGCATCACAACCCGCTGCCACAGCAGAGTGGCTTGGTGAGTGGGTAGCCGGTTACTGCTCCGCAGCGGATCTCGAACCTCGAAGACTACCGCTTGTGCCGCTTCTATTAGCTAGTCGTCTTGCGGTGCCTGCGCTTGCATATGGCCTAAAGCAAAGGGGAGAGCAGAGCAGACAGGCAACAAGGAAGAGAGGAAAGGGGAAATGAACCCGGACGTGGACCTTGCCAGGTTCATGCGAACACGAAGCGGGCGATGGCGGAGCTGCACCGAACAGAAACTTATTATAGAGTGGCATGGATCTTCCCATATTTTGGGGAAGATTCACTCTTTTAAACGTGTTTGAAGGGGGGGCGCATCATATGGTATAGTCGACCGTGGAGGAGAACATTGTACTTACCTGGCAAAGCTTCTGTGGTGAGGAACGCGAATGCATGTGTGCTAAAGAGAGAGAGAGAGAAAGATTTCCTCGAAGACGAGTCAGCATTACCACGAAGACGAGTCAGCATTACCACGAAGACGAGTCGGCATTGCGGGTGAAGGACCGAGAGTCAAGCTACGGTGCAAAGCTACTTACGGATTCGGTCGCCTTCCCGTTGTCAAGTGGCAACTTATCTTCCTATGCGTCAGGGGAGGGCTCATTCTCGTGGTCACGTCTGATGAGCAGCGGAGACCGTCGTGGGAGCGCATGTTGATGTCGTGAAGACTATCGCATCCACCATGTTCCTCGGGATCAGGGTCGTGCCTTGTTCCAGCCCAAGGACTCTAGCTGAACCTGGTATGAACAGCCGGGGTCACTCAGGAGTTAGTACCAGCAAAAAAAAGAAAGAAGGCAATACGAAAGAAGGGGGTAAAAATCGAACTTACCTTGTTGCGGTCTAAAACCACCCGTGGTAAGTCTCGCCTATTTGTCTAAGCAGGCGCGACAGACTGAATCGGATCCGCGGTCAGTTCGCGGAGAGGAAGCTTGCCTGAAAGGAGGGGATTAGTGAAGACGAAGAATGGTCGCGGCTATCTAGCCAAGCAGCTGGTTACTGAGCTATGGCTCACTAAGCTGCTGCAAGGAGCTATCGCGTTAGGCTCCGGCGGTACTGTCCGTTGCGACAATACATCGTTACAGTGTCCTTCTAAGGGGCAGTTGCGGGTCTTTGCCACCCTACAGAACTATTATAGCCATACTCAGGTGGAGGACGGGGAAGTGCTCTATTCAAAGGAGCCTCCTTAGGCGGTGAAACTGCTGACTGGACAGGAAAGTAGACATTGTGGCCTGAGATAGTGATCAAGTATTTACGAGGGAGATTATTACTGTGAATGGAGAGTATCGCTGTGAGTTGGACGATTGTCAGAGGGTCAACAAT